CACAGCCATACATTACTACTGGAACAGTAATGTAATGTAAACAGTAATGTAAGAACAGAGCCATATTCAATCGACCATTTCTTCCCCGGAAGCCCCAAGAATTGAAGACTGATATCCTAGTGGGGTATTTACAGTCTCCACACTATATTTTATCTTCTGTTTAGACCTGTGTTTCTTTTGAGTTCAGTCTGGAGTCTCTAAAATCTGTAGTAACAGCATGGAAATATTCGATTGACTATATAATCACTCTTGCCATTGTACAGATAAGGAAGATGCTCTGGGAGATGACTTCACTTTTGGAGCCTACCAACCCACTATGGCCTCAACTCCAGAGGGACGGCAGTCAAGACGACAATCTGTCAGGTAATAGTAGGCCGATTTACCTTTTGGTTTCTTTTGCCCATAAGGCTGCTTTTAAAGTTCTTTCCTCTTACAGGTTTTCCTCTGAGAACCTCAGTGAGCTGAAAACAGATCAGAGATCAAAGGCTTCCCCCTCAGCATCTACCAGTCCTGTACGCAACAAGTCTGGGGCTGACTGGCTGGGGCTGAAAGATGAAGACAGTGACTTGCTACCACCATCCCCACTAAAGGAACCTAGCAAAAGCAGTGCAAGAGGAAACACACTGGATATGCCACCATTCCCTTCAGAAGCTAAGCATCCTCCTTTTCCTACCACCCAGGGTCCTTCTAGGTCCAAACAAGTTACTGAAGAAGTCATTCAAAAGAATGAACCAGCTGAGGATGATGGTGACAATTGGCTGAATAATGTCTTGTCTCAAAAAAAATCTCAAGCACAGGAGAAAATGAAGAAGAGACCCCGGTCCTCAGATGTTCAGACACATGGAGATCATCCCACCAGGTAAGAGTAGAGGGTTTTTCATTTGCTTAACATTTTTCAGATTCTGTAAATGAAAAATCTTATTTCCACCCAAAGGCTGCCAATCACAGTCTCAAATAGATTCAGTATATTAAGGTGTATATTCTGTGTGGGTATATAAGGGACAATAGTTTTAATGTAGATTTCCAAATCCTGGTGGTCTCCAGATGTGTTAGACTGATTTCTGGAATTCCTGTTCAACGTAGCCAGCATCGTTGCTTTAATTAACACAATAAAGTTCGAGTTAACATTTTTGTTTTCTTTTCCTTTTTACCAGCCAACATGTAACCTCCACTCAAGGACGACATCAATCTGCTGCCCCAACAGATAAACCTGCCAGACTGGAAGAATCAGAGTAAGAACTTGCATTAGGGTTTTTCATAGGCATCTGATCCATCTCAACCTCAGCAACTTTAAAATGTGCGTACTTCAACTCCTGGAGTTCTGTAGCCAGAATATTGGGGGAAGGGAGCCAGCATGCTAGGGAATTCTGAGAGTTGAAGTACACACATCTTAAAGTTGCTAAGGTTGAGAGACATTGATCTAATTGACCAGCTGGGAAACAGAATGCTGGATCAGATACATGTTTGGCTAAATCTAGCAGAACATGCCACTGTTTGGCCTGCACCTTTATTGGAGTACTGATGGTGGAAGGGCAAGGTCAGGATACTTTCTCCTCTTTACCTAAAGGGCAGTTGGCTCTGGCACCAAAGCTCTGGCACTTGCTGCCTAAATTATTTTCACTTGCCTAGAGTGATGATTTTCACAAGATTGTGGATTAGCTCTTATTCCAAAACAAACTCCATTCGATTCCTGTCTAATTAATATTCTCTTCCTCTGCTTATTAAAGGTCTTTCATTCCTTGGGAAAGATCTCAGCAACAATGTCCTCCTACTTTTCCATCTGATTCCAGGAAAGGGACTCCCTTTGGAGATACAACTTCAAGAGGTAAGATTCATGCTCCAGTTGAAGTGTCAAAGAAATGCACATTTACAGCATAGCAGAGTCATCATTGATAGGGGCATCTAATAATTAATTTTATAACTTGGCCTGTTCTACAGCAGGTTTACAAGGCAAGCTGCTTAATTTTCATTGCAGAAAAAATAAATGGTAGAAACATTTCAAGCTTGGGCTGCCCACTGTAACACAGTGAGAGTACTGTTAGATTCTGTTACAGAGTGAGATGCAAATATCCTGGTTTTATCTTCATTTCTTTGTTCGTTTCTCATCCTGTTTCCCTTGGGATAGAAGTGCATAACTTACTCCCCCCCGCCCCAATTACACAGCTCCTAAAAACCTTGAGATTAGTCCCCAGATTCCCTCTAAATGTTGCCACCAAATTGTACATTTTAAGTGGAACATAATTAAATACAGGGGAACTAGATTACAATTTAATTATAGTTAAATTAAATCACATTTTAACCCTCCATTTCCTTTTATTGAAGCAGAGCCCCATTGTGCTAAATGAGGCTCTTGGCTCAAAAACATTACATATCTCTGCTTTAGATCCACCTCAGATCCATTCCTACCATTCTCTTTCAGCTCTGTCATTGAGAGTGTGATACTGTGCCATTGCATCTGGCCTATTCAGTCATCTTCATTTCTTCCTGCTTTTGGAAGACATACTTAGTTCGGGAAGGGGGAGGGTTTTTTTACTGCCAAGAGTCAGACTATAAGCTTTTAGAGAGCTATAGGAGATGGACCTGTGATCCAGTGACATTGCTGGAGGGAGCGGGGCAAATCTTTCAGCCTTTCTAAAATTTATTGATGTAGTAGCATTTAAGCAAAATAGATGTGTTAAGCACATTGAAGGCTCAATGCAACTCTTTTGTGAGAGCTCAGTTATACAAAATATAGCCTTTTGTGTTGTTGATTGCTGCCAAATAGGTTGTTCAATCTTAGTTGGTCCAGGACTGGAAGATGGGAGGAGAGGGTCCATGTATGGTATATGGATTGTCCCCTCACCTCTGGAAGTACAAGAGAACAGTAATCTTCAGTCCCTTCCATCTATTGCTCCTCCGTTATGCTGTCTTTTCCCTTCCATGCATATGTTGCCAGCTAATTTAGAACTTGCAGGTCAGATATTGAAGAAAAGATGCCAGGATGCTTATAATTAATAAGGATTTATCAAAATGATCCCTGTGTTTACAGCATCAGAGAGATTCCTCCCACAACTCCAGCAATGAGCCAAAGCAGTAGGGAGGAAATTCCATGGAATCGACTCAGAAAGGGGTTTATTTCATTGGGCAGGTTTTCTAGCCCTTCAACCTCTCCCTCTCCCCAAATTGCTTAGTTTAGGCAACAGCAAGGAAAGGTTACATATTAATGAGAATTAAGTGTCTATCAGGTATTGGGTGCCTAACTAAGACAAAAGAGTGGGTTAAATAATTTTATTAAAAATTATAATTTCAACAATAAAAAACTAATACAAACTAAAAAAAAGAATAAAAAGAAAAAATAGGAGTAGAAAAGAAAATGAAAATAGAAAAAAAAGAAAAAATAAGAATATAGTAAAGAAAAAGAAAAGAAATATATTAAAAAATGAGTTCCCCCTTCATCACAACAAGTATAAACAATTTTAGTAACTTCTCACCTTCTCTTAAAATACAACAAATGATCTCTTCTTCCCTATCCCATCTCTTACTGTATCTATAGACAGATCCTTAACATCTTGTCATTTCAGTCCTGATCAGCAAAAGTTCATTAAGGGTTACCAGAGATAATAAATTATCTATTTTATCCTTGATCTAATAAACCAACTTTATATTCCTTCCTTTTACTACTAACAATCTCGATCTTTAGTCCCTTCAAATAATGTCCTAGAACTTGATTTCTTTTCATTTTTCCTTTGTCC